CTTGTGTTAGAATAGTGGGAGGTGACTCGGAGCATTTCCCGATTATTATGGGGTTACATCAAGGATATATGCTCAGCCGGTTCTTATTTGCCATGGTGATAGACACACTGACACACCACATTCAATGGGATGTACCATGGTGTATGTTATTCGCTGAAGACATAGTTCTGATTGATGAGACGCGAGGCGGTATTAATGACATGCTGGAGGTTTAGAGGAACACCCTTGAGTCTATGGGTTTCAAGTTGCGCAGGACCAAGACAAAATATCTGGAATACAAGTTCAGCTCTGAATTGGGGGAAGTGGGCAGGGACGTGAGGCTTGGAGCACAAGTCATCCCCAAGAGAAGTAGTTTTAAATACCTGGGGTCGATTATCCAGGGGGGCGAAGAGATTGATGAGGACATCACACACCATATAAGGGTAGGATGGATAAAATGGAGGTTAGCATCAAGAGTCTTGTTTGACAAGAGAGTGTCATCGTTAATCAAAGATAAGTTCTATAGAGTTGTGGTTAGACAGGCCATGTTGTATGGGGCAGAGTGTTGGCCGGTAAAGAACTCTCATACCCAGAAGATAAAAGTAGTAGAGATGAAGATGTTGATGTGGATGTTCATGCATACTTGGATGGATAAGATTAAGAATGAAGTTATTCAGGAGAAGGTGGGCATGGCTCCTATGGATGACAAGATACGGGAAGCGAGGCTCAGATGGTTCGGGCACGTGCGGAAGAAGAGCCCTGATGATCCGGTAAGGAGGTGCGAGAGTTTGGCCCTGGTGGGGACAAGAAGATGTAGAGGACAGCCTAAGAATTATTGGGGAGAGGTGATTAGACAGGACATGGCGTTGCTGCAGATTTCTGAGGACATGGCCCTTTATAGGAAGGTGTAGAGGTCGAACATTATGCTTGTAGATTAGGACGTAGTCGAGTCCAGGGGTAAGGCTAGTTCGATAAGGGTGGTCTTACACTGCTAGGGGTTTATGTTGTGTTCTCCCTATCCTTACGTTTTCATAGCATCAGGCTTATTTTCTGATTTTGTTATTGGATTTCAACTATTTTCTAGTTCTTGTGATACTAATATTATTTCTTTGATTTCTATTTGATGGTACTAATATATTGTCCCTTCCCTTCAGATGATATTGTATTGATTGATGAGATGCGAGACAGTGTGAACGCAAAATTAGATGTATGGAGGCAGACCCTGGAATCTAAAGGTTTCAAGTTGAGCAGGACCAAGACAGAATACTTGGAGTGTAAGTTCAGTGGCGAGACTCAAGGAGGGGAAGGGAAGGTGAGGCTAGACTCGCAGGTCATCCCTAGGATAGGGAGTTTTAAGTACCTTGGGTCTATTATTCAGGGGGATGGGGAGAATGATGAAGATGTCACACATCGTATTGGGGAGGGATGGATGAAATAGAGACTCGCTTCCGGTATTTTGTGTGACAAGAAAGTGCCATCAAAACTTAAGGGTATGTTCTACAGAGTGGTAGTCAGACTAACAATGTTGTATGGGGATGAGTGTTGGCTAGTCAAGATCGCTCATGTCCAGAAGATGAAGGTAGCAGATATGAGGATGTTGAGATGGATGTGCGGGCAGACCAGGTTAGATAGGATCAGAAATGAGGTTATTCGCGACAAGGTGAATGTGAGCCCTATCAAGGACAAGATGTGGGAAGCGCGACTTAGGTGGTTCGGTTATGTGAGGAGGAGGAGCACAGATGCCCCGGTGAGGAGGTGTGAGAGGTTGACATTGGAGGGCCTACAGAGAGGTAGAGGTAGGCTAAAGAAAAGGTGGGGAGAGGTGATTAGGCAAGACATGACACAATTTCAGTTGATCGAGGACATGACCCTTGATAGGAAGGTATGAAGATCGAGGATTAGGGTAGTAGTGTAGGTAGTCTAGAGTATTCATAATAGTAGTATTGACACGCAGTCTTGCTTTCTGTTCGTAGTAGGATTTTATGACTAACCGTTATTTTCTTTCAGTATTGATTACCTTACTATCTGGTTATTTTTATTCTGTTTTTATATGGCTTTTTGGTACTGTCCCTTCTTGTCTATATTTTCATTAATGTGGTGCTTATGATTTCCTAAGCCGAGGGTCTATTGAAAACATCCTCTCTATCCTCACAAAGTAGAGGTAAGGTCTGCGTGCACACCACCCTCCCCAAACCCCACAGTATGGGATATTACTAGGTATGTTATTGTTGTTNTATATATATGTAGATCAAATCAATTGTCACGGTAACACCCTTCGTGCATTTATCTCTTTATCACCGAGCATACATATAACAGTATCAACTGGGTGGGAGAAATGCCAATAACAATAAAAGAATAAAGTGGGAGGCACACAGGAAGCAACAAGGACTACAAGTCACATAGAAAATATAGGTGCACAATAATAGCTCAAGATAAAGGCATGAATGTATACACAATGAAAAGATATCACAATATAATGTATGTCTCTCGTCCTCGCCGGCACGAAAACACCCTTCGTGCCATGAACATATGATAATATAAAAATAATGGCATGGCATCACCCTTCGTCCTTTTACTCTCATCCTCACATGATAATGTATATGAAATGGCACGGCATTATCCTTCATGCATATTAATGTATAAGAATGGCACGACATCACCCTTCGTGCTTTATACCTTTCTTCACATGATAATATTTATGAAATGGCATGACATTATCCTTCGTGCATATTAATATATATGAATGGCACAGCATCACCCTTCCTGCTTTACACTCTTCCATACCAAGCACATGTATATCATTAACAAGCAAGGTAGGAAGCATAAATAACATCAAGGAGAGTGTTTATACGACAACACAATACAACAGTTTATATCACAATTTGCCCACATGCCACAACCAACTCCAAAGATACAACAAAAATAATTAATTTCACAGCAAATAACCCAAGGTTACACACATCGTATATAAAACCTCAAAAATAACAACAGAGATGGAAAAGTAACCCAACATAGGACAACGTCTTCTTTAATACAAATTTTTGATAAATATATATTAATGCCTCATTTTTAAACTTATTTAATAATTATTTACAGATAAGGAATCCATAATGAAATTATTTCCAAGAAATGTCAACCCAACTAACCATGGTATTTCACATAAAAATCAAAAGTGACAATCACACCAAATTATCATATAAAAACAACCTCGGCAAATAAGGAATGAGGGATGACAAATACAGGATTTAATAAGTGCCAATAATTTCCAATTTAAAACATAAGGGCGTCTACGAATTTTAACCGATATAACTTGCACATATAAACCAAGTACATACTCGTCACCTCGCGTACATGGTTTTCAATTACACAATTTCCACATAAGACTCAATGCCTAAGGGGTAATTTCCCATACTCAAGGTTAGGAAAGATACTTACCTTTTTGAAGTTATGTCGTTATTCTAAAATAACCTTCTCGCTTGAATTGACCTATGGATAATATAACGTCGACTTAAAATTTTACATAAAAAGTCAGCCAAAAGTCAACGCGGGGCATGCCTCTCGGAACCCGACCGAATTTTCACGAAATTCGAATACCCATTTCGATACGAGTCCAACAATACCAATTTTATCAAATTCCGAAAATAACTCGACCTCCAAATCTTAAATTGTCGTTCTTGAAACGTTTTACAAAAATTTTGATTTCTTCCATTTAAATTCGAAATAAATGAGGAATATAACCATGGATTTATGAAATATAATTACTTTCGGATATAGGACACTTACCCAAGTTGAAGTCGTGAAGAATTCCTCTAAAATCGCCCTAAAACCGAGCTCCAAAATCCCAATCGAAAATGGCAAAATGATTGATTTTTGGTGCTTAAATGTTTCTGTCCAGTTCGCTTCGGCGGACAGATTTGTCGCATCTGCGGCTTCGCTTTTGGGAGCCAAAATGTGCATCTGCGAAGTCCAAATGTCCACTGCTCAGCAGGAGCTCGCATCTGCGGAGCACATTGCGCATCTGCGGAGCACATTGCGTATCTGCGATGTCGCTTTTGCGATTACTCCCACTGCTGCCAGCTTCCGCTTCTGTGTCTTCATTTCTCGCTTTTGCAATCCCGCAGGTACGGGAATTGCTTCGCACCTGCGACCACTGCCATGTCCCTTCCCATTTCACTTCTGCGATGCAAAACGTCGCTTCTGCGAAGAAGCTTCCGCAGAGGCGAAAACATCAGCTGCTGCCCAGAAATTCAAGCAGCTTTCTTCAAGTCAAAATTGATCCGTTAACCACCCGAAATCCACTCGAGGCCCTCGAGACCTTAACCAATTATACCAACATGTCCCAAAATATAATGCGAACTTAGTCGAGGCTTCAAACCATGTCAAACAACGCTGAAATTACGAATCGCGTAGTGAATCGAATTATGAGTTTTCAAATCTTTCAATTTCTATATTTTGCGCCAAAACGTATCCAATCAATCCGGAATGACTTCAAATTTTGCACACGAGTCATAAATGACATAATGGAGTTGTTTCAATTTCCGTAATCGAAATCCGATCTCGTTATCAAGCAATTGTCCTACGGCCACATTTATGAATATTTCAAAAACTTCATTTTTCCAACTTTTCGCCGAAATGTGCCAAATTGTCCTACGTACTTTCAAATCAAATTCCGGACATACGCCTAAGTCCGAAATCACCATACGAAGCTATTGACATCATCAAAACTCCATTCCGGAGTCGTTTGCTCAAAAGTCAAACTCTGGTCAACTCTTTTCATTTAAGCTTCAAAAATAAGGATTGTTCTTCCAATTTAATTCCGAACCTTCCAAAACCAAACTCGACCGCACACGCAAGTCATAATACATATTACGAAATTGTTCGGGACCTTAAGTCACTGAACATAACGTAAATTCTCAAAACGACAAGTCGGGTCGTTACAATTATATATTATAATATATCTAAACAAATATGGCAAATGTATAGTGTATTACATAAATACTACAAAATTAGACAAACAAGCCTTGTATTCAAATCCCTTTTTATTCATGAATAGAAAGCCAATATCTTGACTTTCTTTATTTTCATACAAAGTACAAATAGAGGAAACAAGAAACACTAGACTCACAAGAATACAAATGGACAATAAGGATTTGAAGCAAAATACATTGCAATTGGATAGCAATGTAGTTTTAGATTTGACACTGCTGGTATCCCGGTAATCCTCCACAACTACAACACATCCAACAATCGTTGCAGTCAGTATAAATTTCGCAATGTCGGCCACATGTAATACTATTAAGTTGCGGGAGCAGTCTCTTCTCAACTCCTGAGAGATCATGATTAACGTTCCGTGCAATCACAAAACGTGTCTCTGAAAACCACGCCATGTTAACTGAAATAATTCATCGTCATAATTAGTAAAATCAAAATGTTAAAGGTAGAACACAAAAAATACACATTCAGATCATCATGCATGGAAAGACATGCATATTTTATGAAATATGATAAGATCATAATCTAAAGTTAATGTGAGATAGATACTAACTCGTAGCTGCCATGAGAAGAACAGTGAAAACAAAACACATCTTAAAGGCCATAACGAGGACAATACTCTAAGCTATGGGAAAGTTTTTATGGTAGTGTTACCAATGATTTTCAGATGGTGTAATTTATAGACCTCGTATATACTTATTATATTCATATAAGTATTTCGATTTGCACATGATTTTCGTCTTGTTAATAAATGGACCTCACACCTCATGTTTAATTAATCTGCAATTTAGATATAAGTTTATAAGAAGTTAATTAGAAGTGCATGTGACTTGTCATAAAAGTGCATGTGAGAAATATTGAAAGACGTATTGTAGTAAATTGCGCCTCTTATTTGTGACAATTAAAAATAAGTTGACTTAATTTTAAATCTTTTATGTTAAATGATGTAAGTTAATATATAAGATGTACTAATTCATAGCGTATTTACTAAGGATTTATAAAAACAAATTACACAACTAAGTTAGTAAAGTTCCAACTAATTAGAGCTATCAATATGGAGAAATTTTTTGAAACCACTCTTGTTTAGTAGCTATTAACTTCTTATAGCTACTATATACATAATTACTTTCTATAGCTGCTATTCAGTTGTTACGGTAGTGTATTTGTTGTATCGTGCTGATGTATTCAAAAAATGCCTAATATCAGGGCAGTCCAACTGTATGCGCATGTATTCGTACTACTGCATTCATGAATAAAATAACAAAAAGCGCCTAAAATCAGGGCAGTCCAGTTGTACGCGCATACATGTATTTGAATACAGCAGCAAAAGGCGCCTAAAATCAGGGCAGTCTAGCTGTACACGCATGTATTCGCGCCATGTATTCATAAATACAATAACGACAATCACCTTAAAAACATGTATGTCAAGTTGTCTAATAACGAAAATAATATCAATTAGCGGGATACACTCCTAATATAACTCAACAAAATTAATTCTAACATGCATCATTATCAACCAATTAATTAGAATAATTTTTCAGTTGTATATAACCCGATATAAATGTATTCATTCTTTATATTATGTTCTATTTTAATATTTGTATTCAGTGTATTTCAATGTGTTTTTATCATTGTATGTGACTAAATAGCAAAGAAGGAAAGAAAAGTTCGTCGGAGATGGAATTTTCCGGCCAAGCAAAATATTGTATACATTGTATTAAAACTAAAAATGGAGACGAGCGAAAACCCCGACCCTCAAATATTCTCCATCGTAAACAATATTGCAGTATCTGTGTAGAGTGCTGACCCCTGATGCAACCCCATCATCACCGAAAAATGGTCCGAGTCCCCACCCACTGTCCTCACTCGGGTCTTTACTCCATCATACATGTCCTTAATCAACCTAACGTAGGCAACAGGTACACCTCTAGCCTCCAAACAACTCCACAAAACCTCCTTCGGAACTTTATCGTACGCCTTTTCCAAGTCGATGAACACCATATGCAAGTCCTTCTTTCTCTCCCTGTACTGCTCCATCAATCTCCTAACAAGGTGGATGGCTTCTGTAGTCGAACGCCCCAGCATAAACCCAAACTGGTTCTCAAAAATAGACACACTCCTCCTCACCCTTAGCTCTACCTCTCTCTCCCAGACTTTCATAGTATGGCTAAGCAGCTTGATACCCCGATAGTTATTACAATTTTGGATATCACCCTTGTTCTTGTATACAGGAACTATCGTGCTCCACCTCCACTTTTCGGGCATCTTTTTTTGTTCTTAAAATGATATTAAATAACCTAGTGAGCCACTCCAAGCCTGCCTTACCCGCACTCTTCCAAAACTCTACCGGTATTTCATCCGGCCCGGTCGCTTTGCCCCTGCTCATCTTACGCATAGCCCCCTCAACTTCATCAACTCTAATCCGCCTACAATACCCAAAGTCACAATGACTCCTAAAGAGTTCCAAATCACCCAGGACAATGCTCTCGTCCCCCTCCTCGTTCAAGAGACTATGGATGTATGTCTGCCATCTTCGACAGAGAAGCCCATCATCCAACAAAACTCTACCTTCTTCGTCTTTGATGCACTTCACTTGGTCCAAGTCCCACACCTTCTTTTCCCTTGCCTTGGCTAACTTGAACAACCTCTTATCCCTACCTCGGCCCTCGAGTTCCTCATACAAATGACTAAAAGTTGCAGTCTTGGTCGTCGTAATTACTAAATTTGCCTCTTTCTTAGCCAACTTATAATGCTCCCTATTCGCCCTCTTCTCCTCCTCGTCTACACTTTCCACTAGCTTTAGATATGCTACTTTCTTGGTTTCTACTTATTCTTGCACCTCTCCATTCCACCACCAGTCTCCCTTGTGACCACCAGAGTAACCCCTTGTGACCCCTAATACCTCTCTCGCGGCTTCCCTAATGCATTGCACAGTCGTGGTCTACATAGCGTTTGCGTCCCCACTACTCCTCCAAGCCCCCATAGTCACCAGCTTGACCCCCAACTCCTACGCTTCAGCTTCCATCAAGCCTCCCCACTTGATCCTATGTTGGCTATATATCGCCATTTTCCTCGTGATCTCAAGGTCCATGACCAGGAGCCTATGAAAGGTCAAGAGGTTCTCACTCGGGATGACCTTGCAATCCGTGCAAAGACCTCTATTGGACTTCCTGCAGAGTAAATAATCAATCTGAGTCTCGGCCACCGAACTTCGGAAGGTGACCAAGTGCTCCCTCTTCTTCGGGAAACTCGAGTTTGCTATTACCAAATCAAATGCTCTAGCAAAGTCCAGCAAAGACGTTCCTCCTCCATTTCTATCTCCAAAACCAAAGCCACCATGCACATCATCATACCCCCCCCCAGATGTCGCTCCAATGTGGCCGTTGAAATCTCCTCCCATGAAAAGCTTCTCGGTATGTGGGATACCACGCACCATCTCATCCAAGTCCTCCTAGAAATGCCTCTTGACTTCCTCATCCAAGCCTGCTTGGGGTGCATATGCATTGATTATGTTCAAAGTAAAACTTCTAACAACTAGCTTAATAGTCATCAGCCTGTCATTCGCCCTCTTAACCTCCACCACTAGTTCACAGAGGTCCTTATCAACCAAGATACCTACCCCGTTCCTGCCCCCCACCCTCCCAGAATACCAAAGTTTGAAACTGCCCACATCTCACGCCTTATCTCTTACCCACCTAGTCTCATGTACACAAGCTATATTAATCTTCCTTTTCTCGAGAATCTTCGCTAACTCTACAGATTTTTCAGTCAAAGTTCCTATGTTTCAAGACCCCACTCTCAGCCTAGTAGCTCCCTTATCCCTCTACCCCCCGCACCCACTCCCCCGCGCTGACACCCCCGAGGTCAAGACCTTACCCTACAATCGTTCACCAAAGCCAGTATAATCTATGAGTCACTACGCAAGCACTATCTCGAAAATAAGCGATAAAAATAAAATGAATTAATGAAAAATAATCTATCACTAAAGGTCACAAAACAGGTGAAGAAATAAAATAAAGGAACTAACGGGAACTATAATCTACAACTAAAGGTTAGAAAAACAGGTGAAGAAATAAAATAAGAGGACTAAAGGAATTATAATCTACGATTAAAGGATAAAAAAATAGGTGAAGAAATATAATACAAGAGCTAAAGGGGGCTATAATCTATAATTAAAGGTCTCAAGGATATATGAAATAAAGATTCAAAATAAAGACGTAAACAGGTAGATAACAATATAAATAAGTAGGCAAAGATATCACTAATGCAATTAAACTGACAATGCTAGGGCAAACGCTAACTAAAGATTCAAGATCAAAATAGGCCGGCAAAGGGATACAGTTACGCTAAAATATCAAACTACTAAAATATCAAGACGAGAGGAACAATAGAACCTGGATTGCAGCAATTGGGGGTGTAATTCAATCGCAAAGTGATTCTTGTCCTCTTCAAGATGATGAAGAAAATGGCAGACTTTTTTGATTCTCTGATGTTGAACAAGAACCCTTAATTTCAGATTAAATAAATTGTCAACCTTCTAAACCTCCCAGCAATTTCAAGGAAATCCGATGACCGGAAGACGGTGATGACGTCAGAAACCGAGGAGAGAGAGGTGAACCACTTGGGAACCAAGTATTACCAGAAATAATCTTTGTTTCTTGATAGTCTCCAAAAAAGATAATAAAAGAGTTTGTAATAAACGTAATCCGATGATCGCAATGTTGATTCAATAATCTCTGTTTCTTGAAGATGGGGTTTTTCAACCAACTACACCACAAAGACTTGTTTAGTAATGGTAAATTTGATCTGTTTATGGAAATCAAGAATCTTGATTAAAGTGGCAGAGTAGAAATAGATTGAAGATGAAGATGACGATTGGAGTTTCACTTACTATCTTTTATTTGAAAGATATTTATTTGAAAGAATTATATTCGAAAGACATTTACTTGAAAAAATTATATCTGAAAGATATTCATTTGAAAGAATTATATTCGAAAGAATTATATTTGAAAGAATTATATTTGAAAGAATTATATTCGAAAGATATTTACTTGAAATAATTATATTTGAAAGATATTTATTTGAAAGAATTATATTTGTAAGATATTTATTTGAAGGAAGTATATTCGGGATATATTTAATTGTACAGATTACATTCTAAAGATTTTTATTTGAAAAACTTATAGATAAAAGATGTATATTTTGAAGGACTTGATTAATTGGCTGTACTTGTGTTTATTATTCGTTTGAGCAATATTTATGATGCTCTTGTTGCCTTGCTGTTTATGTCACAAGTTGATTATTGTTGTCATCACTGCTATTTATTTTCTACTATTTTTGTATATTATATTGCATAGGTTATTTGACTAGTGAGTGTCTTGACTGTACCTCGTCACTACTCCACCGAGGTTAGTCTTGATACTTACTGGGTACCGACCGTGGTGTACTCATACTACACTTCTGCACATTTTTTGTGCAGAGCCAGGTATTGGAGATATCAGACTCGGTTAGAGTTAGACTGTGATCGCAAGGATTCAAGGTAGAGCTTCTTGGTCGTTGCAGTCCTTTGGAGTCTTTCCATTTTATTGTACTGTTAATATTTTATTCGAACAGTATTGTATATTCGATCCTTGAGGTCATTGCATGTATTTAGTTAGAGTTCGTGACTCAGTATTACCAGTCTTGGGAGATTGTTATAATTATTTCTGTTGTGGGTTTGGATTATCTATTTTAAAAAGAATGGCTTGAATTGTAATTAAAATCGGCTTACCTAGTCTTAAAGACTAAGTGCCATCATGATGCCTATGGTGGGATTTTGGGTCGTGACAAGTTGGTATCAGAGCCCTATGTTCATAGGTTCTACGAGTCACGAACGAGTTTAGTAGAGTCTTGCGGGTCGGTACAGAGACGTTTGTACTTGTTTTCGAGATGCTACAGAATTATTAGAAAATTTCCACTTCTTTCATTCCTGTCATGCAAATTTGTTGATTTTTGAATTTGAGCCTTTGTATCTCTATTCTCTCACAAATGGTGAGGACACGTGCTACCGGGTCAGCTGAGCAGACACCCGCGCATTCTGCTAGGGCTGCAAGTGGTTGGGGCCGAGGTGGAGGCCAAGGAAGGGCACGTGTCACAGCTAGAACACCAGTTAGAGGGGAAGTTGAGGAGCCGTTAGTAGCTCCAGTTGGGGGACATGCATCAAAGACACCTGTTGTTATCCCCGGACTTCAAGAGACCTTAGCACAGTTCCTGAACATGTTTCGTACATTAACTCAAATGGGATTAATCTCCGTTTCACCAAATATTTCACAGATTAGGGGAGGAGTTCAGACTCATATCGCCCGTATTCCAGAGCAATAGGTTCACATTGGTCAGGTTTCGGATATAGTACCGGTACAATATGTTATTCCGGTTCAGCCTGAGTTCAGGCCAGAGGCATCAGAAGAAGAACAAAAGAGACTTGAGAGATTTAAGAGGTATAGTCCACCTACCTTCAGTGGCACAGCTACCGAGGATGCCCAGGTATTTCTAGAAAAGTGTCATTGTATTCTCCCCACCATGGGTATTGTGAAAGTGAGCGGAGTTGCCTTTACTACATTTCAGTTGTCAGGAGCAACGTATCAATAGTGGCAAGCTTATGAAGAGGGAAGACCAGTCGATGCAACACCGCCAACTTGGGCTCAGTTTTCGGAAATGTTTTTGAAAGAGTTTGTTCCCTAGACTCTCTGAGATGCGTGGCGCACAGAGTTTGAATGGTTGCGTCAGGGCACCATGACGGTGTCAGAATATGCTATCAGGTTCAGTGAGTTAGCCCGTCATGCACCTATCTTGGTTTCTACAGTTAGAGAGCGAGTCCGCAGATAAATCGAAGGGCTCGATTATGATTTTAAAATATGTATGGCTCGAGAGTTATATACTGACATACCATTTCAGCAAGTAGTAGAGATTGCCAGAATGTTAGAACGTGTTCGAAGTGAGGAAAATGAGTCTAAGGAGGTCAAAAGATCTCGGAACTCTAGAGGATTCAGTGGATTTTACTCTGCAGCTATGACTGTTTATGGCGGATGCTCGGGTAGTCGGTCAGCCCAGTTCATAATTCAGAATACTCATAGTGCTCCAGTTAGTACTTTTAGTGCACCACCGACACGAAATTCTTATAGTGGTTATTTTATTTATGTTGCACAGACTCAGTATGAGCAGTCGCGACCTCAGAGGGGTTGTTATGAGTGAGGTGATACTAGGCACATCATGAGAGATTATCCCAGACTTGGGGGAGGCGAATTTCATCATAACACTCAGGATACAGGCTCTAATCCAGTTAATACTCCATGTGCACAACTAGTTAGGGGTGGAGGACATGCGGGTAGAGAGCGCCCTAGAGGGGGAGGCCCAACCCATTGATATAATTGCTATGAATTGACCGAGGTCGATACACCAGAGGTTGTCGTTACTGGTACGATCTTGATTTGTTATAAAGGAATATTTTCCTTAATTTGATCTTGTTCTGTGTATCGAGGTGAGTCCTCCTATCATGCTCCACTTATGGGCGAGCTTCGTAATTATGTAATCTACTTTTATGTTTACTCCTGTTGAGAGATTCTATGGAGGTAGCAGTGTCTATCATTATGTTTTGATCACTATTGAGAGCTATGAGGCTAAAAGTGACTTTCTGTTACTCATTACGGTGAGTTTTGATGTGATTTTGGGATAATTGGTTATAAATTGTGATTTATATGCCCTATCGGTATGGGGGTTCATTATGTGTTGTGAAATTGTTTATCGGAAATTTATTAAAAGAAGAAAAAGGAAATGGAAGGATTTTGATATGCATGATGTGCATATTACTTGTGACTCAGAGCTGAGGATGGGATCCTCGCATTTTAATATGATATGAAATGTTTAAACCGGGCTACAAGCCGGGTGGAAGTTATATAAGGACGAGATCCTTATGATGAAAATTTATGTGTTTAAATTCTCTCTTGTGAAATTAAATTTTTACTATAATGCTAATAGAGAGTCATACATGTTAGTCTTATTCGATAATTCTTGTATGTGTTTTCTGTGCATGTTTTTGCCATTTTGTGCTGTAATTATTGAGTTTTAGCCCACGAGGTGAGTGCCCAGGTGGCGCTAAATATGATTCGTTAAGTCGGGTAAATAATTTTGAAGTCTTCATGTATCACATTTTGCTGTCAGTGTTGTGAAGATTTGAAAGGAGGTTTTGGTTAATATAAGGTTAACCGACGATGCTGGAATTAATTATGAACAACTATTATGACCAGAGATGTGGTTATGGACATATGTATGACGTGTGCATAGGCACAAGTTGCTACAGCCGGTTGAGACTAATACCGTGTGTTGATGTGAAAATTAGGTCTTTTGAAAATGTTTGGAGTATAAGAAATTGGTTTTAAAGTGTATAAATGTGGATAAAAG